TCCTTCCGAGGAGTGGCTGGTGGGTTTGAACCGCCAGCCGTCTGGTTAGCAGGCAAGTGTCTTAGCCACTATGCTACCAGAGCTCCCACACGGCAGCTAGTAGGTTCGAACTGCTGATTTCTTGGTTAGCAGCTGGGCACTTAATGACTGTGTCACTAGGGGTCCTTATATTAACATCAGTTCTAGCAAAATAAAATTACAAATATGTCAGCTACACACAAAGCAGACAATGCATACCAATTAAAATATTTTTTGGATTCTCTGCTTTATCTGTGTCCTTGCTTTCCTTACATAGTAATTAATAAATGAATGAAATAGATTAGAATCTTGCTAGTGGTTGGAAGACCCATAACATCAACAAAAAGCTGGGTGCTTATTAGAAATGCAGAATCTTAGGTCCTGCTTGATAACTGAATTAGAACCTGCATTACATGATTCACATGCACTTTTAAATCAAGACATACTTGATCTTGAATACTGTGCATGTCTGCACTCTACATACTCTGTACAATGTTTGATATTGGATTCCTAAATGACTGTATCAGGAGCTCTGGTAGCTAGTGCCTAAGGCATTTGACTGCTAACCAGAAGCCTGGAGGTTCAAACCCACCAGCCACTCCTCAGAAGGAAGATTGGGCAATCTACTTCTGTAGTGTTACCACCTCAGAAACTCAAGGAGGGGTCACTGTGAGTCAGATCCGACTGGACAGCAGTGTGTAAATGTCTGTATCTGTGTGAGATGAAATGGTTTCTAATGGTTATGCTCCAACACAGTCATTTGGGAAGTTTTACTCTTAACTGAACTTTGCAAATACTGTGGTATAAAAATTCTGTCCTATGGAGCCCAGATGCAGGAACCAGGCCCCCCAGTGAGACCCAGAAGCCAGAAGTGACACCTAGTTTTAGGCCAACTTGGTTGCTCTTGTGTGTCTCTCTAAGGAAGCCAGGTTTCAGTTCCAACACCCTTTCACATTCCTCCTTGCTCTGCACAAAGCTGCCTTGTACTTCCATGGCCTTGGCCCTGGGTGAGGGCCAGCCCCCCATAACTTCACACCCTTTCCAGCAGCTGCAGAATAGTCCCAAATAAAGAGTATGGTCAGGAGGCCTTTGGGACGTGCCCCAGGAAGGGAATGACAGCAGCTGTTCCTACATTCCGGCCTCCTGAGTAGGCCTTTGGACACATGGCTGGGAGGAGGCTGCAAAGGGATCAGGAAGGACTTTAATGGGGGGGATCAAGCACCATGCTTGGGCCCCTCACAGGACCAGAGAAGAGGGTAGAGGGAAGCGTCTCCTCCACGGTGCTCATAATAGGTAATGGAGCCAAGCTTTCTGCTTCCCAACCCAGGCCCAGGGATGGGCTGAAAACCTCCAGCCACACACCTTCAGGACCCCCTTCCCATCCCCACCCCACCAGGTGCCCCATTTGTAAGGGAAATTGCTGTAAGGAACCAGCATCAGCTGGATTCTCAGCTCTGCCCTTCCCAAGATGTTTAACATAAAACTTTTCTAAAGCTGGGGTTGGAGTGGGGTGAGGAGGGAATAGTGTTTCTCAGAGGGATCTGGTTAAATAAAATTATGATAGCTCTACATAACAGAATAGAATGTAGCCATTAAAAATGAGGGTGCTCTTTTCTTTACAGATTGAGATGGAATGGTTTCTAAGATAAACTATTAAATGAAAAAAGCAGAGTATACATGTGTGTATAGTATGTAAAAAAAAAAGGAGGAAAATAAGAAAAAAATATATATCTGCTTGTATAACTATAGAATAAGCTTGAAGGAAACACAAGAAATTGACCACACCAATGCGCTATGAGGAAGAGACCTGGATGGTTGGGAAGACAGCAGAAAGGAAGACTTTTCACCATATGCACTATTACTCTTTTCACTGCGTATACTGTAAACACTATGCAACTGTTGTTACCTATGCAAAACACAAATATAAAATATAAACAACCTATATAAACATTTAACTTTTAATAATGAAGGGAGGTGTGGCTATAAAGGGAGTTGTGTAGTGATGGAATCATTCTGTATCCTGCTTGTGGTGGATTCCACAAGGAATCCACACTTGTCACAAAATTGCATAGAAACACACACACACCCACACACACACAATGGTGCATGTAAAATGAGAGAAATCTGAGTAAGTTCTGTGGATTGTATCCATGCCAGTGTAATATAAGAATATCAATCTACAGTTATGCAAGATGTTATCATTGAGGGAAACTGGGTGAAAAGTATATGGGACTTTCTTGTATACATATATATATTTTTTATCTTTTTTATTGTGATTTGGGTGAAAGTTTACAGAGCAAATTCATTTTCCATACAGCAGTTTGTAACATTTTGTTTCATGACATTGGCTGCAAGCCACACAATGTAACAGCTCTCTTCCCACTTCCTCCCTATAGTTACCTCTTCCCTGTGTCCTTCTGTCCTACTATATATATATATATATATATATATATTTTCCTGCAACTTCCTGTGACTCTATAATAATTTCAAAATAAAAAGTTAAAAAGACATAATAATACAACAAGGGAAGAATGTTTCACAGAATTATAGCATGGCAAAACTGGACAGGATCTTACAGATAATCTGTAATGTTAATGTTTTAACATTTTTTCAAGATGTGGAACACTTTATTCAAATAGTCTCCAGAAGCAGCCTAGCATGCAAAATAGAGCCAAGTGAGCTCTGTGGTCAGATGAGGTGACACCCAGAGCCCTCCTGTGCAAAACTCCACAAGCAACAGCTCCTTAGGGCACTGCTTGAAAATCACTAATTCTGGTCCATTCTTTTCAATTTATAAATGTGTCACTGAGGCTCAGAAGTGAAGCAACTGAGCCAAAGTCACACAGGATATTAGTGACTGTGCCGGCACTACAGCCCATTTTCCTAAGCCATTGTCCAGTTTATTAGCAGCTAAGACACAGAGAAAGAGGGGATAGAATGCATGATGGCCTGAGGTTGAGCCTCTTAGCTCCTATCACTGCAGGGGCTGCCTTGACTCCTCCCCATGCCCCTGCCAGTCCATACCTGGAGCAGTGCAGCTGTCATGTAGAAGACAATGAAGATGAGTGTGAGGGTGGTGTGCCCGCCCTGCATACAGCTGATAGTGTAGAGGAATACCAGGTGTCCTGGAACCACGAGGAGGAAGAGGACCCGGGCCGAGCGAGAATTCACATCTGGGTCCAGGGGAGAGAGGGTGTAAGGAGGATGAAGTGCGGACGTCCTAGACCCAGAAGGCCTTCCAAAGTCAGGAGGGACCACACCCTACTCCAGGGCAGCAGATAGCTAACTGTCTCTGCATCTCCATCTCATGACCCCCAGCCCCAAGGGTATCTCAGGAACGGATGGCCCTCTAGAGCAGCTGGTACAGCCCAGCAAGAGAAAGAGAACTTGTATACCCAGACCTCAGATATTTCTTAAGCACACTTCATTGATTCTTGGCCCCCTCCCTCCAGGCATGGAATTGACCCAAGAGTCTGAGAATCTATCATTACCAGGGCTGAAGAAGGTGGTACAAGGACTGGGGCAGCGGCGAGGAGCTTGTTCGGAGTTTTCCCCTGGCATCCCATTCATGTGTAAGAAAGTGGAGATTCGGCTGGCCTGGACAGCCACCAGATTGCCCCCAACACCTGCAGAGACACATAAGGGCTTAGACACATGGGAGAGGAAATGAACCTCGTTTCTAGTCTCTTATCAGTAGATGCATTGTCCTGCCTTCATTTAGTGTCTATGTGGGCATTGCCCACTCACCAGTCCTCAGTGAGACACTAAGAAGGAAGACAAAGACATCCCCCTCTTCCATGAAGTCTTCCAGGCTCTTCCCATCCTCCCCTCTATGGATATGTACAGTTCCATAACTCTTGGCATGGCTGTGAGAGAAAAGGCACAGGTAGATCTACAGACTCAGCTAACCTGACTTCTCCACCAGTACAGTGAGTGCATCTGCCTTTATATACAGTCAAGGAAGGAGACCCTCCTCCCCTGCCCCTTTCTTCCAGTGCTCTGAGCAAACCTAAGCATCTAGTGTTCATGTGTTCATTCTAGTAACCAACTTATACTGGGCCTGAGTTCTGAATGCTGGTATGTCATGCCTCTGGCACCTCTCCCAAGAAGTGTGCTGGTTACTCAGTTTTCCCTCTCACCCTGCCACCTATCCTCTGCTCTGAGCCATCACCTAATGCTCAGAGCCCTGAGGGGCTGTGTTCTGCAGGCTCCCTTGTTGGCTGTTTCCAATTGGATTTGTTCAATGGGATGGACCAGCAGGAGATCACAGGTAGAAGGAGAGAGAGGTCAGGTATGTTGTTCTTGGTCTCTTCCTGCTTTTTGGCAGTGGCTTATCCTTGTTGGGACAATGGATGGACTCTCACAGGGCTCCCATAACACTATTTCTTCCCCTTAACTCCTCAGGGCTAGAGGCTTCCCATTGTTGCTAGTCTCTGGGTGTCTTAGCATCTCTCTCTCTTTTTCCTTCCCTCAATATCTCTTGTTGGTCCTTTAATCCTGCTCCCACCTCTGTGAACCATCCCTTCATTATAGCCTTGAGCTATCTGTGCTGGATTCCCTTGCCTGTTGGAATGATACAGAAAATCCAATTAAAACCAGTGGCCACTGAGTTGTCTCTGACTCATGGCGACCTCACATGCGTCAGAGAAGACCTGTGCTCCATAGGGCTTTCAATAGCTGATTTTTCGGAAGTAGACCTCTAGGCCTTTCTTCTGAGGTGCCTCTGGATGGGTTTGAACTTCCAGCCTTTTGGTTAGTCAGATGAGCATGCTAACCATTTGCACCACCCAGGGACTCCAGATACAGGAAACAACCCTCTAAATCGCCTTCTCCTGCTTCTCTGCTTCCCCTCTGGCAGCTGAGGCCAAGATCTCACCATTAATCACAGGTGTGAAGACAGCCATTCCTGCAAAGTTGGGGTCTGAGACAGTCTTATCCAAGATGAGGCCTCCCACACTACACAGACACAAAGACAAAGTGACAACATTAAAAGGTTCTACCCTGGTCTCTGGGATGAGGGGCATAGGCCCACTTGGCCTTAGGGAGGAAGTGGGCAAAGGTAGGTTCCAGGAATCCAGCAGCTGGTTCTAACATTCTGACTTGTCAGTGTCTCCAGAGTCTGGTGGTACCACTTAAGGCAGACTTCTCCTGTACCCATCCCCCAAGTTGTACCCAATGCTGAGGGGCTACCTGCCTCTGAGGACCCCTGTTGTTTTGCCTGCTCAGCATTTATTTCCTCTTCTGGTGACAGGTTCTTAGGGAACCACCTTTCTCAAAATCAGTAACTATGGTTTAGGGACACTACTTCAATAATGGTTAGGTCCTTGGCCCACCCAACCAAAGTATTGCATCCCCAAGGCCATAGTGATTACTTTAGGAACAGCTATAGATCCAACCATAGCCAATGAAACTACTCTGGGACTTAGTGGACTGCTGGGGGAAAGAATCTGTCTCTCCATTGGAGTAAGAAAATTATAAACCTGGAACTGCCTGCAGACTATGCACAGAGCTGTGAGATGGAGAGTACTGGGGCCCTGAGGATACTGTTTGAGCTCTGGAACCCAGCTGTGCCTTTTTAGTTCCATAAGCCAGTATGCTGTTTTATTTTTTAATCAAACTCATCTCTGGTGATTTCTGTCACTTGCAACAGAAGGACATGTAATTGAAGGCATGTCTAGGGTCAGAGCCATACCTCTTTGAGGCTTAAAGGGGAGTCTGTGGTGAGATATGGTGGGCTGGGAGTATGCATCCAGAGCCTACCTGCTGATGGCCATGGCGATGATGACAGGCTCCCAGCCTGAGTACAACACCTCCCTCGTGGCTGGGCTCCGCCGGGCCAGCACCACCCAGACAGGCAGCAGGGCCACGAAGAAGGCACACACCAGGGGGTAGATGTATCGCCAGCCCTCTGAGAGAGGCAAGGGTCAGAGGTGAGGTGAGCTCTGTACTCCTTGCTCCCAGCCTCCCTCTGGCTTGCTCAGCCCACACGTGTCCCCACAGGTCAATATCACTACCACAGTGGCGTAGTGCCTAAGGCTTTTGACAGCTAACCAGTAGGCTGGTGGTTCAAACCCACCAGCCACTCCTCTGAAGGAAGGTTGGGCAATCTACTTCCATGGTGATGATACTGCCTCGGAAACCCAAGGAGGAGTCGTTATGAGTCACATCTGACTCAACAGCAGTTGAGTTTTGAGATATATCACTTTATTTGATCTTACTCAGCAGGTGGGTTGGGCCAGCCTTTCCATTTTATAGATGAGAAAACTAAAGGTAGACAGCTGCACAGGCACTGAACTACAGGGGCAGAGATCAGACTCTAGACCTCTTGATTTTGATACCAGAAATCACTATCCTCCATCCCCTTCTTCACTTTGCAAGCAGATTCCAGCCTTCAGTTCCTTTCCTTCACTCTTTCTACCTCACTCCTTCAAGAACAGCAAAAACTAAAGGACTAGGCAGAACTATATACTTCAGAATATAGTCCTATATATCTCCCCCAAACCTGCCCCTGCTGCATGCACGAATTTGAGCCTCATCTGTCTAAGATCTGGAGCTGTTACAAACTGTGTTCAAACCGAATGATTAAGAACAGAGAACATAGTAGCAATCCTTGCACATTTGCAAGACCACTACCACCTCTTAATTCCACCTAAGGATCCACCCTGGCCACACCCTCAAGGCTTCAGCCTCACCTAGTTTCAGGTAGAGTCCCCAGCTGATGCCTGAGAGTAAGGCCAAGGTGATGAGGTCGCCCAGGCTGGCAGCAATGGGTGTGGCCACATTGTCTGGGTTGATCCCAATCTTGCGAGAGCCAATGATGACCCCAATCATGATCATACCTGATGATGAAGGAGAGGGGGACCAGGTTAGGTAAGAAAAGAAAAGAGGGTATCAATAAACACAATGGCCAATTATGTTGAAACTATGGCCAATAAGTATATGAAAAGATGCTTAACGCATGAGCCATTAAAGAGAAGCAAACCAGAACCATGGTGGCCTGCAGTGAGACACCATTTCATCTCTATTAGAATGGCAAGGATCAAAAAAACAGAAAACAACAGGTGTTGGTGAGGTTGTGGAGCAACTGGAAGTTTCATCTGCTGCTACTAGGAATGTAAGATGGAATAGCCCTGTGGAAAAGACTTTGGCACTTCCTCAAAAAGTTGAGAACAGAATCACCATATGACCCAGTAATCCCAATTGAAACTATATACCCAGAAGTGAAGGCAGGAATACAACAACACAAACATATTCACCAATGTTCATTGCAGCACTTTTCACAATAGCCAGAAGGTGGAAACAAGGAAATGACCGAAACGTCCATCAACGGACGAATGGATGGACAAAATGTGGTATCTACACACAGTAGAATACTACTTAACCAGAAAGAAGTAAGTCCTGATACATGCTACAATATGGATGAACCTAGAAAACACCAAGCTGAGTGAAATTAAGTCAATTGCAAAGCAGATATATAAAAACCATAGATGATTTGTGGTTACCAGGGGTGGGAAGGAGTGGGAGAGTGGGAAGTTTTGAGTGGGCATTAAATTTATGTTAAAGGTGGTAGAATGATTTGGAAAAGGATGGTAAAAATGGTTGCACACAAAGCTCAAAATCCTAAGAAAGACTAGGCTTACTTGTCTGATAGAGACTGGTGAAACCCCCAAGACTATGGCCCCTAGACACCCTTCGGGCCTGAAATTGAACTCATTCCTATGACTTCCAGCCAAACAAGAGACAAGCATATAAGGTGAACATTTACATCAAGTAGGTACACTCCTTAGAAGAACCAATCTTGGGAGATCAGAAAGGCAATATTTGCACAGGGAGATAGCTCAGAGGGCAGAAATGCACAGGAAAGGACACAGGGAAAAGGTAACTACAGGGAAGAAAGCTATTACATTATGGGGATTGCAGTCAATGTCATGAAACAAAATGTGTATGAAGTGCTGTATGGAAAACGAAATTGCTCTATAAACTTTCACCCAAATCACAATTAAAAAAAAAAGAAGAAAATGTTTGCACAACTTGAAGCATGTACTCGATGTCACTGAATTGTACATGGAGAAATTGCTGAAATAGTATATGTTTTGTTATATATGCTTTTACCATGAAAAAAAAAAAGGAGCAAAAAGGCACCTTGCTTAGTCAACACCCCTTCCTTCTTCCCCACCTGCCCAACTTTTCCCTTCCTTACCCAGTACCAAGGAGGCAATGAAGGCTGTGGCCACACTACTCGCACAGAGTAGGAAGGCATGAGGAATACTGAAGTGGCCATCAGGGATCCAGCCAAAGACGACAGCTGCGATGGACGCCAGGAAGCCCACCACTGTGGCCTGCACCTGAGGAGAGCCAGAGCAGAGAGTTTCTTAGCTGAGGTCACTGAGCACTTAGCCAGACCTCTTCCTGCCCATCCCCTCTCCCAGCCCCAGGAGGCAGGCAGGGCTGGACTGTTTAGTCCTCAAAGGCTGGAATAATGTCTTTATTTATTTAGTTTCTCACCAGACACTAGTATGGGGCAGTGCACATTGCAGGAGCCCAGTACATGTTACTGGCTGAATGAATGTTCCTCTGGGGATTGGGCTGATGCTCAACAGAGCAAGAGACTTTAGCTCAGAGTCAAGATGTGGGACTCAAGGGGGAAGATTCCCAGTCTGGAATTCTTGTGGCCTCTTGGGGAGGTGTGACAACAGTGGCAGAGGACAATTCAGTACTCCTGAATCTGCTCCTATAGCCAAGATCAGTGAGGACTCCAACCATCCTCACCACCCGGAGCAGAGCAGTGACATGGGAGATACTGGGGCCTTTCCCACACTGGCTGTTTTCCTTGGGTAACTTGTTACCTCCTAGAGTTACTGTGGGAGAAGCCAGCTCAGCAGGATGTTGGAGCTTTACCCAGAAGCCAGCTGGGCAGACCTGAACCTTTCAGAGATTCCTGATGAAGAGGAACTCAGCCCACTCTCTCAGGCCCCTGCTCTCACCTGGATGAGTGCCATGTTCCCTGTGATCATCCGCCAGAGCTCCTTGGGTGTGTCCATGTGCCCAATGTTGGCCTGGGAGAGGGAGGAGGTAGAGGTCTGAGGCTCCAGGCTGGGCAGGGCCTGCAGCTCTACCATCAGGCCTCTGCCTGGGTCAGGAGGTAGTGCACATGGCTCAGGACTTGGACATGACCAGGGAAATGGAAGCAGGACTAGGAAAACTGGGTAAGAGGGAAGGAGCTAAACAGTGTTTAATTCCTGTAGCTGAGGGTAGGGAGGGGGCCCCCAAGGAAGGCTTTTCTTCTCTCCTCCCCTCAGGACACCTGCGGAGCAAAAGCAGATTCTCCTCTGCTCTGCTTATCTGGGTAGTCCATTCCCACAGGGGTCGGAATGGCTCTGAAGCCAGTTCAATATCCTAGGGAAAGAAAGGTCAGCTGATGGCACAGGACTGAAGCTGGAGGAGTGTTTGGGGGAGAGAGGCGGCACGGGCCACGGGTAGGGACAAGTTGGAGTAGGGTAGCCTGGTTGACACTTCTCTCTGCCGCCTTCTCCAGACTCTTGGCCATGCAAGGACATGCCTTACACCTGGCTCCCCTGGCCTCTTGAGTTTCACCACCCTCATCTCCCACCCCATGGCCCTGTATCTGGTTCAGTCTCTGAACCATCAAGGCTGATCTAAGTGGTGGTGGGAGAGAGGAGTGATGAATTGTTGAGCAGCTCCTCCCTGTCTACTGCCCAGAAGAAGAGCATGCTGTCTTGGAGGAAGGAGACTGGGATGGGAGGGAGGCTGGGAGGGCCTGGCTCTGCTCCTGCCCAGCTGCAGAGTGGGGCTGGAGATCAGAGGAGGCCCCCATCTGTGCGGGTGGAGGGGCCAGCATGGTGCCTGCCTGTCAAAGCTGCACAAACAGTCACGAGGTGGGTTGTGAGGCAGGGGGTGGGGCAGGAGTCCAGGGATGGCTGAGACATCCAAAAACCAAGTCTGGGAACCACTTTGGGTGGGGAGGCCCTGTTCAGGAGCAGGACACCCAGCCTGGGATCTCCCTACACCTGCCCAGTTAGCCCCTCCTTTCCCATCCCAGTGCCATACTCCAGGCCTGTGCAGTCATGAAAGGCCTGTAGCTGTCCCTAAGTTTGGCTCTGTTCCACCCAGGGTCCTCTCTGGGCCCCTTCCCCTAGCCAAGGCACTCACTGCGGTGGAAAGCCTGGATGCCAGGGTCATTTCTAGGTTCCCCTTGAGCCCCAGCAGTGCAGGCACCAGGATGAAGACCTCTGTCACCTTCTGGAAGACTTCCCAGTGCTACAAGGTGAAAACAGAACCCAGGAATTTCAGTGCCCAGAAAGGCTGCACTGAGGTTAAAAAGACAGTCTGGGATCAGGGGCTTGGGGAGGAAATGGGATCAGCGGGAGCAGGTACATTGATTGCCTTTTTTCAAGAACCCTGGAAGCAAACCAAGCACAAAGTACTCCCAACAACACAGACCCCTTTCCTGCCACCCAAAACAGAGGAGGCAAACGGAGTCTCTTTCAGTCAGGAGACTCCAAGTCCAGCTCTACTTCCTCTGCCTGCTTCCCTGGCACCAAGGGCAAAGGTGCTGAAAAGCTGCTCAGCCGAGCACCTCCAGGCTGGCTCACACACCACAACTCCACTGTGATCCCCCCTCAAATAGCAAGCCCCGACCCCTTGTGCCTTTAGTCCAGTTTCACTGTAGCCTCAGCCTTGGGTGGTGTTGTCTCAGCTGTTGAGAGCTGGGCTCCACGGGGTTGAGGCTGGGGCTGAGGAGATTAGATTGTTTGGTTTCCATCTCCAAGGGCGTTGGCCCTCGTCCATAGCTGCTCTCCATCTGAACAGGCTCTGAGTTACAACTGTGGCCCCCAAATGTCTGAAGGCTGGGTGTAAGGGGCTTTGTATTCCCTCTCTGCACCCATCCCACTGTCTTCCCCAATTTCAGCTAGGAGAAGCAAGTGTGTCCCTATGGAATGAGCATTGGACTGGGAATCAGAAGACGTGGGTTCTAGTCCTAAGACAATCGAGCCTGGCTCTCCTACCTGCTTTTTCAGCTAGCATCTATTAAGTACTGACTACGTGCTAGGCAAAGGAGCTATGGTTAAGGCATTCAGCTACCAACCAAAAGGTTGGTGGTTTTAACCAACCAGCTGCTCTGTGGGTGGATGATGAGGCAGTCTGCTTCCGTGAAAATTTACAGCCTTGAAAACCCTATGCGGCAGTTCTACTCTGTCCAAAGGGTTGTTATGAGTTGGAATCAACTCGATGGTGGTGGGTTTTGTTTCGTTTTGTCAGGAGACTCTAGGGTGCAGTGGTTAAAGCATTCAGCTGCTAACCAGAAGGTCAGCAGTTCAAACCTACCAGCTGCTCTGTGGGAGAAAGATGAGGCAGTCTGCTTCTAAAGATTTACAGCCTTGGAAACCCTATGGGGCAGTTATACTCTGTCCTATAGGGTTGCTATGAGTAGGAATTGACTCAAAGACAATGGGATTTTTTTTGAGGAGTATGTGCTAGGCTGGAGTCCCTGGGTGGTATAAATGGCCAACATGCTTGGCTGCTAACCAAAATGCTCAGGCCTTGGAAGAAAGGTCTGGCAATCTGAAAAATCAGCCACTGAAATCTCCATGGAGCACAGTTCTACTCTGACACACATGGGGTTGCCACGAGTCAATTGACAGCAACTGGTAAATGTGCTAAGCTAAATGCTTTATGTGTATTTTCTCTTTTAATCTTTTCAACAACTCTGTAAGCTAGGGGCCACTTTTATTCCCTTTTTCTAAAAGAGAAAACAGGTTCAGAAAGTGATATACCCGTTAATGAAAACAGGGAAAACTCTAGGAACCAGGACTGGCTATTTAGAAATTTACTTCAAGTGAAAATGAAACTGAAGATTTGCAAAAAAAGTGGCTGGCATTGCACCTCACTCCTGCCCCTGATGGGGCAGCATTAAATTTCTTTTATTTGCTTTAAGAAATGGGAGGAAGGGGTGACAGCTGAATGGATATAGGAATGTTGCTCAGGGAACGATGGTCTAGGAGGCAAGATGCTGTCATGAGCAAGCGCTGGACAAGGGCAAGGGCACTCACTGGACTGAGAGACCTGAGTCTCCTACTAGAGACCACAGTGAGGGGCCTCATACTACTCCCCAATGTGCCTCCCTACATATACCAGCTGGGGGAAACAGGCCAGTGACAGGTGCCTGAATTTCCTGACTGTAAAATGGGCAATTCAGGGGCCAGTTCAGACAGTCTCTAAAGGCCATTTTAGCACTCACACTACAGTTAAAGATGAGCAAGGATATTGGAGGGGGCTGGGGTCAGTACTAGGGACCAGGGGTGGCTGGACACTGAGGGATAGCAGTAAGCTACAAGGCACATCCATTGCCACTGAATTAGAATTGACTCAGAGTGACTACATGTAAGTCAGAGTAGAACTGTGTGCCATAGGATTTTCAATGACTGAGTTTTTGGAAGTAGACTGCCAGGTCTTTCTTCCAGTGCACCTCTGGGTGCAGCTGTGCATGTTAACCATTTGCGCTACCCAAGAACTCAAGCTGTAAGGCAAGGCTTCCTCGTTTCTTAGATTTCTCTTTGTTGGGAGAGTGGAAGCCCCTAACAGGACTGAGGAAGGGCTCCTTTCACTGGGGCTAGAGTATAACACCCATCCCTGAGCTCCTGGCTTGGTCCCTCACAGGAGGGCTTAGGACTTTCCTTATGGAAGCCCCTTGCTGGAGACTAAGGAGGGAGAGAGACCCTCACATCCTCATCTCTACCCCAGTAACAGTTGCTAACCATTCACGGCACTCACAGGAAGAACCAGACTCTTCCAAATGTTTGAGGAGTATGAATTCTTTTTTGTCCATAGGCCCCCAGAGGGAAGACAGCCCCCATGAGGCAAGGATGCAGAAATCACCCCATCTACTCTGGAGGGATTGGGGCTGTTACCCTTGGCTGTGGCTGATGCATAGCTCTGGGGCTCCAGCTCCTTGCAGTCACTCTCCTTCGTCCCCCAAACCTGACCTGCAGACCCAGAGAGGGGATGCACACCCCTCCCCTCCCCCATGAAGGTAGCTGACAGTGGACTTTCTAAACTCCTCTCAGAGCAGGGCCTCACATCCCATTCTCACTGCAAGCCATCTGCCTCTCCTATTTCCAAACTGTCAGCTCAGTGGAAAGCATAGTTCTCCAGGCAGGTATATGTGATGTATATGTATGGACAGCATGAAAAAGCCTGAAGGAAATGTTTCAAGCTCAGGCAAGAAAGATTTTCTCAACTATTAGCAATGAATATTGTCATTGTTATTAGGTGCTGTTGAGTTGGTTCTGGCTCATAGTGACTCTCTGTACAACAGAATGAAACACTCTTCAGTTCTGCACCATCCTCATTATCATTGCTATGCTTGAGCCCATTGTTGCAGCTGCTGTGTCTACTGCCTGTATTTAATGTTATTATTATTATTATTTAAAATGTATAAAGTCCAGCTATGTTCCTCTGGTTGCTACTACGAGCACCCCAAATCCATCCACCACTCCTAAGCCTCCCCACAAGCTCTCTTTTCAACTACATGAGGACCTAGGCAGTATAAAGTTTTAGGAGCGATAAGATCAGTGACATACAAGCCAGGCGAGAAAGGCAAGGAGAGGAAGCAGCCATAATAACAGCTCTACCTCAAAGTCTTCACAACCCTCACAGAATACAGCCTGGAACTTCACATTACCTACCTTCATTCTAGCCAAAGCCCTGAGTTGGCACTTGGGCCACAGCAGCCAATTCCTACATACTTTTTCACCCACAAGACCTTCTAAAAAATGTACTACAGGAGGGGAGCCTCTGACACACATACACACACACACATGCACGCACACGCATACACAATGTACCCTCCCCACACATGCAGATATGTGCACAAACTCGAGACTCTGGGAAGAGGGGGATGCTGGGAGGTGGGTGATGGAAGCTGGGTGGCCTGAGGCCAAGGAGTGGGCAGTGCAACAGGGGCAGACAGTCAGTACCTCTTCTTCCTCTTTTGGCCTAATTCAGGTCCACCCTGCTCGTCCTGGCTGGGAATGCCTGCTCCTACAGTCAAACCCGTCAGCCAAGCTGCCACCCACGCCTTCCTGCTCTGCTGGGGATGGAAAGGGGCATGTTCCAGGAAGTGCTGCCTAGTGTGGGTGGCAGGGCATTGATTATTACTGTTTCTCAGAAACACAGCTCCTCTCCCCCTTCTTCCTCTATCCTTAGGGTGCTTGTTAGCCATGGATATTCTGGAGCTGAGGGATGAGACCACTCCCCCACACTCAAAAACAATCCTGCTTCAGAGCAGTCACCCAAGCCTCATACCTCAGTCACCCTGCTGGTACCTCTTGTCCTTCCAACCTGGCTCTTCTTTCCCTCACCTTCTCTAGCCAACCCCCACAACACATACACTCACCCCACCTGCCCTCAAGTATTCCAGCCTGAGCCTTTTTGTGCTCTGGTAGGCAATAGCAGGGAAGAAAGTCATTAGCTGGAAGAGATGGAATCAAGATATCAAGAAACCAAGATATCAACCTATAGTCAGCTGATCTTTGACAAAGGCCCCAAATCCATTAAGTGGGGAAGAGAATGTTTGTTTAATAAATGGTGCTGGCAAAACTGGAGATCCATTTGCAGAAAAATGAAACAAGATATGTACCTCACACCACACACAAAAACAAACTCCAGATGGATCAAAGACTTAAATGTGAAACCTAGAACTATACAGTTTCTTAAGGAAAATTTAGGCTCAAACTTAAGGGCCCTAATATTTGGTATAAATAGACTACCAAGCATAATTCAAAATGCACCAACAGCAGAAGAGAAGCCAGATGATTGGGACCTTCTAAAAATTAAATGTTTATGTGCTTCCAAAGACTTCTCCAAAAGAGTCAAAAGAGAACCTACAGATTGGGAAAAAATATTTGGTAATAACATATCTGACAAGGGACTTATCTCTAGAATTTATAGAACACTCCAACACCTCAATAACAAAAAGACAAACAATCCAATTAAAAAATGGGCAGAAGACATGAACAGACACTTCACCAAGGAGGATATTCAAGCGGCCAACAAACATATGAAGAAATGCTCACGATCATTAGCTATTAGAGAGATGCAAATCAAAACAACAATGAGATACCATCTTGCTCCAGCACTAGTAGCAAAGTTCAACAAGACAGAAAATAACAAATGCTGGCGAGGTTGTGGAGAGATTGGGACTCTCATACACTGCTGGTGGGACTGTAAAATGGTACAACCATTGTGGAAAGCAGTAT